ATATATATATATCTTTATTGATTTTAGAGAGAGGAAAGGAGAGGGAGAGAGAGAGAGAAACATCAGTGATGAGAGAGTCACCGACGGAGCCCGCAGCCCGGGCATGTGCCCCGACCGGGAACCGAACCCGCATCGCCTCCATCACTAGGTGGAGGCTCAACCGCTGAGCCGCGCCGGCCGGGCCAAACCGCTTTTTTAAAAAATGAGATTGAGCCCAGTGAATGAATTGGCGAAATTGGAACTGGCACCCTTGTCTTTAAACCTCCAAGGACAGAAATGAAGTCAAGTAGCCAACAAGCTATAAGGGTGCTGGCTTCTGCACACTTTTACCAAAATGTTTTATCATCAAACGTTTAATCCGTATCAAGCTGAAGTGAGAAAGGGACCCTGTACTTTACGTTTGCATTTTTTATTGAGATTGCGTTTCTTCCACAAGCCTAGAAACTATTTGTATTTCTTTATCTGTGAACTATTTGTATAAATCAGCTGAGGAATATTTTGAAAAGGGTATGTCTTGGACAAGAAACAAGACGAAATAGAATTTGTAAGTAAAATAGTTACTGTATGCTCCAGCAATTCTACTCCAAGTATATTATTCAAGAAAAATAAAAACATATGTCCACACAAAAACTTGTTCACATATGTTCATGGCAGCATTATCCACAATAACCCCAGATTGGAAACAACCCAGATAGCCATTACAAATGAGTGGATAAACAAAATGCGGCACATCCATAAATGCAATATTATTTGCCATAAAAAGGAATGAAGTACTGATGCATACTATAATGTTGATGAACTCTGAAAACGTAAGTATATGAAGCCAGTCACAACAGACCACATATTATATGGCTCAGTTTATATGCAATTTCCAGAATAGGCAGCTCTCTAGAGAGAAAGAAGGTAGATTAGTGGTGGCCCAGAAACGAAGGGAGGAAATTAGAAGGGGGCTGGGGATAGAGAATGAATTCTAATGGGTACAGAGGTGTGTGTTTTTAATTTATTGATTTGAAAGAGAGAGAGAGAGGGAGAGAGAAACATTGATTTGTTGATCCACTTATTTATGCATTCATTGGTTGCTACTTGTATGTACCCTGACTGGAGATCGAACCTGAAACCTTGGTGTATCAAGATGACACCAACTGAGTTACCTGGCCAGGCCTCAAAGTTTCTTTTTGGGGTCATAGAAACACTTTAAAATTAGAATATGGTAGTGGTTCCACGACTCTGTAAAAATGATGAAAATCATTGAATTGTATACTTTAAATGGGTAACCTTATAATGTATAGATTATATAAAAATAAAACTTTAATAAAAAGATTAAAGCAAGAATGAAGATAAGAGAACTAAGAAGTGATATAAAAATCTAAATGATCTGATAGGAAACTGGTAAAAATAAATTTTGAAACATCCTATAGTGGAATATTATGCAGATATTCAACATAATTGAATTGGTAAATATTTTTGTGCTGTATGTGTAGGAAGGATCTGATTTCTCAATATCCTCAACACTTGTTAATATCTTACTTTTTTATTTTATTTTATTTGTTATCGATTTTAGAGAGAGAAAAGGAGATAGAGAGGCGGGGGGCCTCCCGCACATGCTCCAACCAGGGATCAAACCCACAGCCCAGGTATGTGCCCTGATGGGAAATCAAACCAGCAACCTTTCAGTGTATGGGACGACACTCCAGCCAACTGAGCCACACCAGTCAGCGCAATAACTCTGACTTTTTGAGTGTAGTCATCCCAGAGGGTGTGAAATAGTATTTCAGTGCGGCCTTGATTTTCATTTCCCTAGTATTTAATGATGTTGCGCATCTTTTCGAGGGCTTACTGGCCATTTGTATATCTTCTTTAGTGAAATGTCTCTTCAAGTCCTTTGCCTGTGTTTAACTGGGTCGCTAGAGTTTTTACTTTTTATTTATTACTTTATTGAGTTGTAAGAGTTTTTTATACAGTCTGGATATGAATTCGTTATCAAGTATATCATT